TCATAAAGAAAAGTTTCTATGTGGACAATCTTCAAGGTACAGTGACTTAAAGAGAGATTTGAAATCCTTATACAGAAAGCTAACAAGGAGATGAAAGAAGCAAATATGCCTCTAAGGAAGTGGAATACAAATTCAAAGCAATTAAGGGAACTTATCACAGAAGATTTCCTGAAGCCTGAAATTCCTGATTGCAACAATATGCTGGGACTTAATTGGAACACACCAGGTAAATACTTTTGAGTCTCAAAAAGAAAACAATAAATCATGCAGTACACTCACTAAACGTAGTTATACTGTCAGAGTTATCACAATGTTTTGATTCCACTAGGGACTCGCTCGACCAATTACCATAAGGGTAAAAAAGCTTATCAAGATGCATGGAAGCTCAAAATTGGTGGGATTGAGAAACTTGCCTCTAGACATGAGTCAAGCATGGATGAAATATCCAAGGAGTTTTTTTTAAACCCAACTTCTCAAATTAAACTTCCCAGACAAATAGGGTCAGAGGGAAACAAGTACTCATTACGTGCCTGTGATGCTACAACCAGATGGTTATGGCGCTGTAGCTTACAAGATATGCTGAAGGCAGTACACTAATTACTTCAAAGCCAGGGTAGCACCCTTGAAGGTCAGAACGTACCACAATGGAACTGGACAGCTGGGATCTATGTAGGTACAAAATAACCGTATCTCAACAAGTACTTGATCATCTCACTATTGAAAAAACCGTGATTCTGGAGTGATAATGAAGCAGTTCTCCAGTGGTTTAAGAAATAATAAGGAGTAAAGTGTCTATGTACAAGAACAAGTAGCAAATAAAAGAGATGCAGAGAGATTATCTCTTACTCCACGTTCTCTACCCAAGAGAATCCACTGACATGTTGTCACGTGGGTGTCCCACTCAAGAAATTTGTGGATAATAGCATATTTAAATTTTTTTTTACATAGATTTTTAAGCGATTTTCTTCTTTCCATTTTTTATCTAGGTAATTGTTAACTTTTCACTTTAGCATTTTTTCTTTTTTTTTACGTTTATTAGATATAGAGTATTAATCTCAATCTTTTTTTTTTTTTATCTGCAATTGAAAATACTGGTGGCCTCAGCAAAAGAGCCCGTCACATTATTCCAAGTTCTGGAAACAGTCCTGCTTGAACACAGCAGAAATCATTTTGTAGTGAATAGCATTGTCAGACACGAGGACGAGGGGAAAGGGGAGGTCAGCGAGTGCTAGGGTTGCGAAATACTCATCTTTGGTATAACTCTTAAGGAGTTACAGCTCTTGTCTTTAAATTCTTTAAAGGAATAAAACCTGATTATGAATGACTTTGAACCCATTAAAATACTGGGAAACCTAATACAGAAAAGATTGTTTTCTCTACAGAATATAAATTTTCTGGAAAACTCAAGATAAATCCCCAAAGAATCCTGTCATGATTATTTCTTTAGGACTTTAATCTCGACTCAGAAAAGATTATAAGATGTCGAGAAAGAATTCATAATTCTTCACCTACCTAAAGAAGCCATACATCCAATATGATCCCCAAGAATCATTGGCTAACAAAACTGATTGTGCAAAACGCCCACAGTAACGTGTTACATGGTGGGGTTGCTGAACACACTTTTGTCAAACACAATCTACTGATAGCCCACCTCAAGGTCCGACATAGTGTGAAAAAGCAAATAAAGGGCTGTATTACTTGTCGTCACTACGATATCGAGTTATGTCAAGTATCCAGTCCACTCTCCATATCCCTCTGAAAGATTTGTCCAATATACTCCATTTGAGGTGACAGGTGTAAGAATTACACTGGACCATAATTTATAACCAAAAACAGTTGACAAAGTCCTATCAAGGTGTACATCTGTTTGTTCACTTGTGCTACAACTAGGGCAGTACATCTAGAAGTAGCCACTGACATGTCTGTGAAACCTTATCAAATTATTCAGAGGTTTGCAGCCAGAAGGCATTGTCCCCAGAACTGATGATTTCAGATAATGCAACGAACTTTGGTTGCTGGTGCAGCTTATATAAGCAAGATCTTTGATCAACCAGAAGGTTACAACAGATTCTGAAAAAAAAAAAATCAACGAGGTGTCGTTGGAGATACATTCCTCCTAAATCTCCATGGGCACGGCGTATTTTATGAAAGTATGATCCAGTGGTAACAACTTGTTTTAAGAAGGCTCTTCATCTTCCAGAGAAATAGACTTAGAGGATTTCCGTACAGTTGTGACTGAATATAGAGAAAATAAGAGTCCACACAGACCTCTAACTTATGTTACCGATATCTGGACAGTTTTGAAGTGTTAAGGTCCATCTCATTTACTCCATGGCAGAAGGCCTCGAAACTGTTTTCTCCCATGAAATGATAAAGAAACATAGTGAGATCCTTCTTATTTTGAACTGACAGCAACTCAGACTTAAAATTCAAACACTTAATAAGTGATTGACCGTTGGGAAAAATTTGGCGAGAAGACTATCTCACCACATTGAGAGAACACTTCTATGGAGCTGGTGTTCCTGAAAATCATAAGTCCTTAAGACCGGGTGACATAGTGATTATTGACAATGATGGTCTGAGGTCCCAATGGCCACTTGGAAAAATTGTGACCATATATCCTGATGCAAATGGAATCATCAGGACAGTTGATGTTTTGAGCAAAAGTGTAGTGAATAAGCGGACAATAAATAAACTAGTGCCGTTAGAATTACACAGTGTTGAAAACAAAATTAGTGATTCTCCAGAAACCACACATATTAAAGCTGTTCAGAAAAGACAAGCAGCAGTGGTGGCGAGTGAGAAAATCAAATTAATGTTAAGTGATGAATAGTTCACCTGCAGCGAACCTCCGCCGCCCCCCAGTGTGGAGAAATTTTCTCCAGGAGGGGGTATCAGCCCCCTTCAGCCCCTTTCAGCCCTGAGGGGCCCAGCCCTCTCAGAAGGGGCAAATATCTTGTTTACTGCTACAGCGAGTAATTGATCGCAGATGCAGTACGAGTATGCGATGTGGTCAAGCGACCACTGCTCCTTGCAGTCCAGTGTTGCAGAGTGTATTTTAATAAGAGACAGTACATCTCTTACCTTGGCAGGACAATTAAGGAAAATCCTGCTCCCACTTTATTACCATAGTAAAGGTGGTGGACATTGTTGTCTATGCTTAAGACAGCAAGATTTAAACATTCTGCTTTGCCTCATGGAGGAAGTGGCAAGGAAGCAAAGGTACTATGTCAGCTTTTCCTTTGTGCTGGGGGCAGTAACGGCGTGGGGCGCTGTGGCATCTTCAGATTACTTTTGACTCTACTGAGAGTGACACTGACGCCAGGTTAACCAACGATCTGTGCGTTAGTGTGAACAAAGTGTCTCACAAAACACAATAAACACTTAAGAGAAGTGTGATCAGCTTCTTTAGTGATAAGATTGTGAACAATAAAGACAAATCTTGTGGAACATAGTGTACCAGTGTGCGTATTCCTAGACTATGGAAGACGTGGACATCCAAGGACACTTCAGCTTCTATCAAGTCACCGATATCTGTCAAAGGTGTGAAGAACACCATAGCTCACGCTACAAGAGCAATGTAGGTTACGAATTTCTTGTAGTACGGGGGACTGCGCAGTTGTTGAGTCGCAAGGAGTTTGTAATCAACCTATAGTCGGCAGTTAGGTGTGGACTTTTGAGTCCACACTAAGTTTGTCAGCCATCAGTGAATGAAATATGCTGACATAACACCCCCTAGGGGTAAATTATTGTTTACATAATATCTATTCCAGCCCGTTGAGAGATGATCATGACAACAATTCAAGACCTCGTCTGCAGGGGCGGCTGTGTAGACGATTTGCTATCTTTTATCAGCTAAGTGTTCCCTATATTTAAATTTAAAATTAAGCTTAACTGGTAATCCCATTTCTCAACAGGAGGGGGTCCTTGATAACGGTGATGGGGGCTCTTGATCCAAGAAAGTGAAACTGTCCTCCCTTTGGAGGGTGAATGCCTCCCATTTCCCCAGGTGTTGCATGACCCGTACAGATTTAGAGCTCTCCCATGAATGCAATCATAATCTGGCCTGCAGCATTAGGCGACTCATAACCCCCCATCCCTTTCACATACACACTGGGAAGCGCTAAACCTGTCAGGTTAATACATCCCTTGGGAATGAGGCACTTAGGTTCAAAGGGAGAGATCCAATTCCTTGGATCAAGAACGCCTCACCGCCATCAAGGACCCCCTATGAGGGGCCTTCACTTCAATAGTATACCAATAGGTGCGCATTTATATATACACCGAGCTTACTTTTAGTAAATCCCTCAAGAGTATATACATCGGGAAGTGTGCATCTCAATATATTATACAATATATATAATCCGTGAAGTTTCTCCGTGTATATACACCGATAGGGTGTGTATATACACAGGTATACCTCTGGGTGCACATACAGCGTGAAGTGTATAATATTTCAGTGTGTGTATATATATACAGAGCTTTACAATATTCCTTATTTTAGGTATTCAAGTAAAACGATAATGATATAGATTAATATGCAGCCTTAATGTACCTCGTGTAGTCGACAAGCTTTAAACTTATCAATCACACAAGTTAAATACACCGAGAGGTGCGTATCTCAACTCAAGAGTTTAATGCAATCCGTACTTTAAATATTAAAGCATTGTTGGCTGATGGTGAACAGACAGGTTTTAATGACTCTTGTGTAGTCCACCTTATAAATCTAATAAATTAAGTAAGCAAAGGTGCGCTAACTTTGCTGGCAGAAAGTATTTTACGAGTGAATGTCACTTTTTACAAACAAAAAAATCGAGGCGGTAAATGCAAAGGGAAAACAGATATCAAGGAAGCAGTGCGTAAGTCAGATGGATGGAATATATCAAATTAATTACAAGATAATAAGCTATACATTGATTGATTAAAGGATAAGAGTGCGAGGGTATATATTTGATCAATGCTTGTGTTTAATGTTGTGTTTGGCAGTAGTGGTTGTTCATGGTAGCCATCTTGTGCTCCCCCAGCTGCTGCCAGGAGCCTCACCACCCGACTTCCTCCTGCAGAGTTCGGGTACGAAGTGACGTACGGAGGCGGTGGGGGCGTATATGGCGGGGGCGGTGCTGGGGCGGGGCTGGTGTGGGAGAGCACGGCACCTGGGGCAGCCCTAACCCATTACCCACCCCATGATGCTGCCTTCGCTGCTGCCGCCGCCGCCACCCTCCCCCTCCACGACCTATGGCAGACCCACACCTTCAGGGGCCAGTGTGTCATGTCTCACAGGTAGGAAGGAAACAAGTTTTGAGGTTTAAAGAGCGCTTGGTCTGGTACATGTTCCATAGGTAACATTTACTCACATGCCACGCCTCCTGCATGACACATCTCATATTAGGAAACATTTTACTCATCTCACCCTCAGACTGTTCATCGCTGCGTTGCAACCTATCCTTATTTTCCCATACTGCTTAACGTGATTCCAAACATCAGTTTCTGATCGATCCCTGTAAACTTACAAATCCCACTTTCATATTTAGATTAGGCTACATAAATCTATAAAACACATATTTACCCATATATAAGGAAACTAAAAGGCAGGCCGCAGTACTTCAGGCAACACAGTGGATGAGCAGTACCAAGAAACTTGCAACTGCACATTTCACTCGTGGTGACAGTTGCTCCTTCACTTTGCTTAGCATCTTGGTTTACAAATGGCTCATAACTTTAGTGGTAATTATAATACTGATTCTGAACGAAGATCCTGCTCGTGTCTAATATTAACTACACTTTTTCGTCATACTCTTTTTTTTCAAATTTCAATACGATACACGAACTTCGATATAGTAGGCACACCAACATAAACATATCTCCTGGTTTTGAATCTGAGTATTATACATCTATCCTACTATGTCGGGGAAGCACTAAACTCATACTAGTCATACATGAAAGGCAATCAAGTTTGATCTCGACGAGAGGGCAAGGGCAGGTGCAAATCCCTGGATCAAGGGCCCTTGACCAGCTACAAGGCAACCCCTTGAAGAGTAAACTTTATTTCTATCCTACTACGATGGTAACTCGTTAATTAAAATCTGTTATCACGATACTGCATACTGAAGATATTAGTAAACGTTATTTAACCCAGGATAACCTAACAAACCACCGTATTGCGGCTTATTCTCTCTGAGGTCTTCCCTTTGGTTGTGATCCATAACGCTCGACAAACGTGGTACCTCTTTACTGGTAACAAGAGAAGCAAGTTGAAGACGCACATAGTGTCGCCCAGACCAAGAATCAGACCTGAGAGGTCTCGGTTGTGAAATGAACACACTATAGCTGAATTGGCAATATATCACTTGTATTTTGTACACGTGTCACCATCCAGTGGCTTGATCAACAGAAAACATGGACATACACTGAAGACTGTAGAAGAGGAGGCAAGTATTCCAGCCTTGCAGATTATTATTATTATAATCAAGGGGAAGCGCTAAACCCGGAGGATTATACAGCGCCTGGGGGGGGGATGTGGAAGGCACTCAGGCTTAATTCGGGGAACTGGAGCACAGATCCAATTCCCTAAATCAAGAGCCCCTCACCAACATCAAGGAACCTTCCTTGAGGGGACAGCCTTGCAGAATTATCTACAGAAGACAACTTGGAATGACGTAATAGTCCCTCAGCCTTGGAGCAGGTGTTGTGCACCGCAGTCTTGATGAACCTAGGGCACAGGCAGGAAGATGGGCGCTTATTTACAGGAGTTAAGTGATGAGGTGCAGCAGATGAAGGCATTGTCATTGATAGGCGGGATCTACCAGTAGAAATAAGTCATGCTCAAGAGGTGGGCCAGAGGTTGGCATGTAGGCTGTGGCCTCTGTGCCAAGATTCCATGATGATGTACCCGATATACGTACATCAATAGTGCACAATACCAGCAAGCTGATGAATTAGACACATGTACATCATTCCGACTGCTCCAAATTCGTGGTTCTAGGCAGTGGGACTGATTACCTTGTCCCCTATGCCTTCTGTACATAATTCTGCTAGGCTGTGGGACTAATTACATTTTCTTATAGTCTTCCGTATATGTCCTTGTAATGTATTGATAAAGCCACTGGATGACGAAACTTCAACAAATATACTCAAATGTTGCACGTGTCTAATTCATCACTACTGAGCTACAGGTCATCTTGACTTAGAAGTGTTTCTTAATTAACGTTGCTTTAAATTGTTAGTGGCAATTTTGTCGCTTGGTGTTGGACGTTGATCACCAACAGCCTGGCTGGTCACAGACTGGGTCGTAATTAGCGGATGGAGGATCAAGCCTCCACTAGTCCTTGCGCTGAATGACGCACATGGACTTAAGAGTTTCAAATAATAATGATATTAATAATGCGTATGTTCTAAAAAAGCGGATTCGTATACTATTATGCCAAAGCCACCCATCACCAACATGGTACCTGGACTACTTACTTGATCCTGCAGACATCGTACTCAATGTGTTCATCGTCGTCGGTGTCGTAGTTATAACTGCTGTTCTTGACATCTGTGTCCTTGTAGGTGGACATAGTGACGCTGTTGCCTGACATCTTCAACACTTGCCCCCACCGTCTAGGCACTTCTGTTGATATATTCCCAAGAACTTATAATTTTTACATAAATACCCCTTTTTTTAGGGGGGAAATGGGGGAGGTATGATTGGTGTAGTGTTAGTAACTTGACCACACTGCTAGCCAGCCTTGAAACTTGTATTAAGTTAACATAAATCTGGTTATTTCATCATTATCACGTTCCGACATAAGATGTTAAAAAAGACAATTAACGGGTGAATTTCCAGCCGTTAACGCCCAGGGATAAGTCTAATGTTTTCTAATTATTGGCGCATTTATCAGTGATGAACTGCCAATTCTTAAGTATATACACAATGACTACCATTAAATTTAAAACGGAGGAACAATCACTGAAACTAAACTGCACTTTATAATTATGGTTACATTTGCCACCTAAAATAATTTTCTTCGGATCCAATCAAATATTAGCTGACTGTAAATACACGTAACGTGTACTTCTCTAAATTCTGAGGTAGAAGATTGTCTTCAAGCACAATAAAGCAAGTTGAAACTACAACACCATCACAATGTCACTGACACAACAATACTGAGACATGGTTGGTGCAGCAGCTCCATCCGCTAGATAATATAGATAACCGCATATCCTCTACAGTCTTCACTGGTGAATAAACTATTCTGGACTATGATATACATTTTGGAAACGTACACTCGTAGAGAGCCAAAAGTATAATAATTTCGGCAAATCTGAAATAGAACTGAAACCTACTAAAATAGTAGTACAGAGACGGGGTCGTAATTAAAAAATAGTTGATGTTAATGTAATAAATGTGAAGAACTCAATTCCAGCTAACCGGTTTCCTGAATACTTTCATAAATATTTCCCGTCTCACACTCCAAAATCACTTTAAATCCAAAATCCATTTCCTCCACACACTTTAATGTAACATTCACATTTGCCTGTTGGATATTCAAGTCCCTATTACGTATAATCTCCAACTCTTCTGAGAACCAGTCTATCTCTCCTTCCTTCCACCCTGAATTTATGCACCTTTTTAGTCAACCTGTTCTGTTTCATTCTTTTGTAAGTGACAAAAACCACCTGAGCAACTCCTCTACCCTCTGAATTATAAATTTTATACCCCGATACCATCTGGTCTCTACGTTCCTTATTCTCTACACAAGGTTCACGCCACACTTTGCTCTCTACCATGACACTTACTACACCACGAAGATTGGAAAACAATATACAAATAACCCGAACATAGAAGAGAAGAGCTTACGACGACGTTTCGGTCTGATTATGGACCATTTACAAAGTCAGTGTGACTTTGTAAATGGTCCAAATCGGACCGAAACGTCGTCGTAAGCTCCTCTCTTCTATGTGCGGGTTGTTTGTGTATTGTTCCAGTCACGGTATTCTGCCTTTTTTTGTTTTTTATTGGAAAACAAAACGGTAATGGAAAAAAAATACGATTTATTACTGTCTCTGATGACATCTGTTGAGGTACAAGATAAAGATTAAAAGCCAGCAATACCTTGCTCGTTCGTGGGAATGATTAAAATACATCTGGCATTTTTTGCACTTAGTGCTACTAAGGTTTATTAAAATTAATTTAAAGTATACAAATTTCACCCGGTTATCCTAGTTCTCTTCGCTGTATAACCCTTGTGGTTTAGCGCTTCTTTTTTATTATAATAATAATAATAATATCCTAGTTCTCGGGCGACCTTCAAAATGGAATAGATACTTGTAGTGATTGTCGATTTTTTTTTTCTTTTCAAGGATTCCAATCGATCACTTGAGAACAACTGCTTGGCTTCAAACTTTCATTATAATTATAATTTTTAAAGGGGTGGACGACCTTGTTCAGATAACCATTATTATAATCAAAACTAAGCGCTAAACCACCAGGGTTATACAGTGCTGGGTCAAATGACCAAGGTCATACAGCGCTGGGGCAGACAACCAGGGTCATACAGGACTGGGTCAGACGACCAGGGTCATACAGCGCTGGGTCAGACGACCAGGGTCATACAGCGCTGGGTCAAACGACCACGGCCATACAGCGCTGGGTCAGACGACCAGTCATAGCGCTGGGTCAGACGACCAGGGTCATAGCGCTGGGTCAGACGACCAGGGTCATACAGCACTGGGTCAGACGACCAGTGTCATACAGCACTGGGTCAGACGACCAGGGTCATACAGCGCTGGGTCAGACGACCAGGGTCATACAGCGCTGGGTCAGACGACCAGGGTCATACAGCGCTGGGTCAGATGACCAGGGTCATACAGCGCTGGGTCAGACGACCAGGGTCATACAGCGCTGGGTCAGACGACCAGGGTCATACAGCGCTGGGTCAGACGACCAGGGTCATACAGCGCTGGATCAGACAACCAGGGTCATACAACGCTGAGTCAGACGACCAGGGTCATACAGGGCTGGGTCAGACGACCAGGGTCATACAGCGCTGGGTCAGACGACCAGGGTCATACAGCGCTGGGTCAGACGACCAGGGTCATACAGCGCTGGGTCAGACGACCAGGGTCATACAGCGCTGGGTCAGACGACCAGGGTCATACAGCGCTGGGTCAGACAACCAGGGTCATACAGGACTGGGCCAACGACCAGGGTCATACAGCGCTGGGTCAGACGACCAGGGTCATACAGCGCTGGGTCAGACGACCAGGGTCATACAGCGCTGGGTCAAGACACGGCCTAC